TAACTAAGGCTTGCACCTTCTACAAAATACACTCTTAAGCAGTGGTTCTTAACTTTTGGAGTACCGAACCCCACCAGTTTCATAAGCGCAATCACCGAACCCTTCTTAATAGTTGTATCGTCCACACAGACAAAATCCTATCGTGAATCATAAAAAGACTGTGCTAAACGAATTAGCACCGCTACAATTTTAATTTTTTTCTGGCATTACTAATCATCATTTTTGAAGGATAATGCATCTTAACGGGAATTTTATTGGCGTCGAGTAAAGTTTTAGGGAACGACAATCAGCGTAATTTGTTAATTTTATTCTAGACTGTCGCATATATATATATATATATATATATATATATATATATATATATATATATATATATATATATATATATATATATATATATATATATATATATATATATATATATATATATATATATATATATGGGGGGCGCCAAACTGAAAGTTCGCCCCGGGCGCCGGGAGGGGTCGCTACGCCTCTGCTTGTATTATGTAATCGTATCTCACACTTCTATTTAATCTCCCTCTCTGTTCACGTGCCTTAAATCTAGGACGACCCTGACCTTTATTCAGTGTTTCACCAGCCCCCTGTTACACCGCGCTGATAAGATCTCGACTCGGGCCGGTGGTTTGGTTGGCCGCTCGTGATTGTCCTTGACCTTTGACAAGTTACGGCTCACGTTCAAATGTTTGTTCTCACACGGTTTAACAGGGTCAAGGTTGGCTGCTGCCAGACGTGCACATGTTTGGGCCTGTAGCATGTTGTCTAGGCCGACATTGACGACTCGACAAGTTGTCTAGACCGACAATGACGACTCGACAAGTTGTCTAGACCGACATTGACGTGTGGACAAGTTGTCTAGACCGACATTGACGTCTGGACAAGTTGTCTAGACCGACATTGACGTGTGGACAAGTTGTCTAGACCTACATTGACGTCTGGACAGTTTGAGACACGTGACAAGTTGTTGTCTAGACCTACATTGACGTCTGAACAGTTTGAGACACGTGACAAGTTGTTGTCTAGACTGACATTGAATTGCTGACGAATTGAACATTGATGTGAGAGCTTGGTGCCTAGATGAGAACTGACGTGTCAACTTGTTGTCTAGATGTCGAGTCAACTTGTTGTCTAGATGACGAGTCAACTTGCTGACGTCTCCTGTTTAGACTGTCCCATCCAGCCTTAGACTATTGTTAGCGCCTGTTATAGTTTTTCCATTGTCCACGAATGTTATCATTTTTTTACAACATCACCACCAGTAAACCAACAGCTTTCATTAATTATACTCGCAACAATGAAAATGGTTTTTAGGCATATGCATAATTAATGAGGACATATATTGACACAAGTTGTCTTCTGTCATGTTCTACACTTTCTGGTTAGTGATGTGTGTCTTCTACACCTGATGATGTCTGGTATCATCATTGTACTGACACATCACGTGATGTGTGACACGTAGCACGATGATGAATGACAACTAACCCCCCCCCCCCCCCCCCCCACACTTCCCACACAAAAAACTGTTTGAAATCTCCCATGTACTAAATCCCACTGCAGCCAGAACTCAAGGGGTTTAACTCACATTGAGATCAAACATGTACCCTAAAGGTCAGTAACCTTTGACCTTCAGACCACAAGATACATCACCAGGGTGACCTGTCGTGACTACTTACTTCTGATCTGTATGAGGAATATATATATATATATATATATATATATATATATATATATATATATATATATATATATATATATATATATATATATATATATATATATATTCCTATGTATCCCGTGGGTTCCTCTGATGTGGATTTGGTACTTGTGAATGTTTACCTCTCCAGCGGAAACTTGGCGTCGGTGTCTCTTTGAGATGTGAAGTGGCACGCCAAAACGAAAGCGGAAATGCTATGATAAAGTGCGTGTTTAAATGGTGTTTATTTCTGGGACCTTGTGTTTACGGGATCCACGCCTTTATCAGGGCGCTACGATTGGCTGTTGCGTCATCGTCCGGTCGTACAGGAACTAAGTCTGTCCTCTGGACCCGGCCGGCCTTTTTTCTATCACGTGCGGCGCGCTGATTGGTCTGTCAGGTCACGTGGTTCTGAGCTGGGTACTTTGGTTGTAAAACAGTCGCACTCGTTTCGCAAACACACACTCGTCATACAAACACGCATCCATCACATAAACACACACACACAGGAAACACTCACACACACACACACACCCGACACTTTCACACACCCGAAAAAAAACAAACAACTATCATACAATGAAACATGGTTACACAAACACACACACAGTCACATAGATGCACACACAATTGTATAACATAATTTATAAAGTTTTAAACTTTGTACACGTAAGGTCATGTTTTATTTATTACATTAATACAAATTTAAATTTGCACTATGATACGATTAAAACGGATTCAAAGAATGGTGTGGGACAATACCAGTTGAGACACACTTCATTCACACACCGATGTCCTATCAGACACATGTCATTTGTTTGACTCATTACTTAAAGACCAAATTAATGTTTTTTTTTTTGGCTACCGGGTCAACTTGACCTCTTTTGTACGATCACTACCGCCCCTCACCCCTCTCCACCACTGATTGCTGACGCAGCTATTTAAATAATTTTTTTATAGGCCAATATCCATCTTATTTTCAAACTTGACGTTATCGTTATGGTGAAACCGTCAGTCTGACCTGTCATATAGGTGACACCTTAGTCTGACCTGTCAAACAAAGGTGACACTGTCAGTTTGACCAAAGTACCAAGTTCGGAACACCGGGCAGATTTGGTTCTTCAGCCTTCAGTTGGGGACAGCAACCCATCTAGGAACAGCAACCATATAGGAATAGCAGCCCAGATAGGAACAGCAACCATATAGGAATAGCAGCCCAGATAGGAACAGCAACCATATAGGAATAGCAGCCCAGATAGGAACATCAACCCATATAGGAATAGCAGCCCAGATAGGAACAGCAACCCATATAGGAACAGCAACCCATATAGGAACACCACCCATATAGGAACAGCAACCCAGATAGGAACAGCAACCATATAAGAATAGCAGCCCAGATAGGAACAGCAACCCATATAGGAACAGCAACCCATATAGGAACACCACCCATATAGGAACAGCAACCATATAAGAATAGCAGCCCAGATAGGAACACCACCCATATAGGAACAGCAACCATATAAGAATAGCAGCCCAGATAGGAACAGCAACCCAGATAGGAACAGCAACCCAGATAGGAACAGCAACCATATAAGAATAGCAGCCCAGATAGGAACAGCAACCCAGATAGGAACAGCAACCCAGATAGGAACAGCAACCCAGATAGGAACAGCAACCATATAAGAATAGCAGCCCAGATAGGAACAGCAACCCAGATAGGAATAGCAGCCCAGATAGGAACAGCAACCCATATAGGAACACCACCCATATAGGAACAGCAACCCAGATAGGAACAGCAACCATATAAGAATAGCAGCCCAGATAGGAACAGCAACCCATATAGGAACAGCAACCCATATAGGAACACCACCCATATAGGAACAGCAACCATATAAGAATAGCAGCCCAGATAGGAACACCACCCATATAGGAACAGCAACCATATAAGAATAGCAGCCCAGATAGGAACAGCAACCCAGATAGGAACAGCAACCCAGATAGGAACAGCAACCATATAAGAATAGCAGCCCAGATAGGAACAGCAACCCAGATAGGAACAGCAACCCAGATAGGAACAGCAACCATATAAGAATAGCAGCCCAGATAGGAACAGCAACCCAGATAGGAATAGCAGCCCAGATAGGAGAGTAAACTCCAAAATCTTGGTTGGACAAAGGCGATGAAATCAGTTAAAGAAAAGCAGCCTGAAGTCGGAGTCAACTGGCCATATGGCGCATACCATGTTGACACTTAGTACATAATTGTGTTCATTAAAGAAATAGGCTCTCCTCTCGAGGAGTTTAAATTTATTTTGATGGCTTCATTTGGTTTTCTAACCTCTGACCGTCATGCGCAGAAGCGTTGTAACATGTGACCACCTTAAGGTCGGTGGATTGACTTGTAATTTACAAGTTGTAACTTTAATCACGTGACAAACGCTGTCAGGTCACCGTGCCATTGTCCTAACGATGTCAGAGTGACATGACATGATATGACATGAGCTATTCGTGCAGATATTACTGGAGAAGATGCTCTATTTGTTACACGATGTGTTTTCTTCTGTCTTCTCAAATTACCATTTCATTTTTTTTTACTAGGGGAAATTGTTTATTTAACATAGGGAAAAATATTGTTGGAGGGGGGGGGGGTAGTGGATGTGATTGTAATCTGGTCAGTGGGATGGTAGGTTGGCTGGTCAGTGGGATGGTAGGTTGGCTGGTCAGTGGGATGGTAGGTTGGCTGGTCATGGCTGGTCAGTGGGATGGTAGGTTGGCTGGTCATGGCTGGTCAGTGGGATGGTAGGTTGGCTGGTCAGTGGGATGGTAGGTTGGCTTGTCAGTGGGATGTTAGGTTGGCTGGTCAGTGGGATGGTAGGTTGGCTGGTCAGTGGGATGGTAGGTTGGCTGGTCAGTGGGATGGTAGGTTGGCTGGTCAGTGGGATGGTAGGTTAGCTGGTCAGTGACTTTTGACTGCCAAGTGGCCGAATTAACTGACAAGTGGCTGACTTTTGACTAACCAGACGTGAAGGATGAAATGACGTAAAAGGCTGTATTTCCAGCCGTGACATCTCTAGACAGTGTTTGAATTTTTTTTTGTTTTTTTACACCATGAAATTATCGTCCATTTCATTTGACACTGGTTGATAGCGATATATATATATATATATATATATATATATATATATATATATATATATATATATATATATATATATATATATATATATATATATACCCAGTTGCACACCACCCTACTTAACCCCACCTCATTCTATCTCTCCTAACAGACATCGAAGGTGTAGACTTCAAAGAGGAAAACCGGCCACTCCTGATTGTCCTCTACTCTACTTCACCTGTATCCTGGGCTCTAGAGATGGACGGCGTCTACAGCCAGAAGAAACACCTGTTTATAGTGAGTACATACCTGCACGTGTCGCACTCTCGCTCAGCTACTCACATTTCGCTCACCACCTTTCCTCTGGTGCTATTTTTACTCCTGTTTTACATGCATACTTTGTACTTTAATTGTGCTGTACTTTTACTTTGATGTTTTCTACTTTGGTTGTTTTGTACTTTCATTTCATGTTTTCTACTTTAGTTGTTTTGTACTTTCATTTCATGTTTTCTACTTTAGTTGTTTTGTACTTTCATTTGATGTTTTCTGCTTCAAATGTTTGTACTTTACTTTACTGAAATTTTACTTTGATATATTCTACTTGTATTGTTCTTTTCCACTTTAATTAATTCTAAAAGTTGGTTTAGAAGTCAGTATATAGATATAGAAAAGATATCAGTCACTCGATAATTACATTAGCAATATATTTATTCTTTTCAAGTAGATTGCACACATTTTATGGCACAAAAAGTTTGCTTTATAGCTGACTACATAAGACAGAGTTACTAATATTCTCTTCTAAAACAAAGCTAAATAAATATGATCTCCACTTCTTAATTAACTAGTTTCAAATATTTATAAACACCATATTTCTACTTAGTTATCTCCCATTTTATGTTATTGAATACAATGAATATAGTAGCATTTTAATACATTTTAGTGTCTTATTTAATATTTTATTACAATTAAAATTAGATATTCTTTCGCTGTCATTGGATAAGACCCTAAATCAGTGGCGTAGCGAGGTCGGGTGTCACCCGGTGTGGCACTTTATGGTGTCACCTCCCAGAGGCGCAGCGACCCTTCCCGGGGACAAATTTTCGATTTGCACCCCCCCACCCCCTCAAACTTTCGATTTGAACGCCCCTCAAACTTTCGATTTGCACCACCCGCCTCAAAGTTTTCTCTATATATTTTGCTACTTTTTTGCCTTGGTGTCACCCCTCTAAATGGTGTCACCCGGTGCGGTCCGCACCCCCGCCCCCCCCCCTCGCTACGCCTCTGCCCTAAATATAAAGTTTAAAAGAAATCACACCATTGGAAATGTGTTTTTTTTTAAAGTTACATTAGCGTACAACCATTTGACTTCTTATCCATTAACACACCGACAAAAGCTTCCAAAATAGCGTCTAATGAGATCGGAGCTAAATTGTACTTCATCTAATTCAGTCCAGCCTTAGTTCCTCTGCTTACGTTGAATTTGCATTTGAAACTTGGAATTCTTTCTTAAGAAAATACAGACCTATGGTTTAAAGTCCATGATTATAAAACCCATTTTGATTTAACAGTCAACAAAGTACGGTATACACCCAGTCGCAGCAAAACTAGCAGATGTACCCATCCACGTAGCTCGCCAACCCGAACTGAACCGTATAAGCTTCTAACAGTTTGAACAACAAATGTCCATTTCTCGCACTTTACCTTACCGCACCGATAAATTATGTTATCATTTCCGATCGTACAAATATACATCTTTTTATTAGTTCCCTGTCGATGGCGGCTACATGAAAGGCAACCATTAATGTCTTGCCTCGGCTATTTATATGCATTGGGTTTTCCCGTGAACAAATGGCTAAAATAAATAAATTCCCGGCTACTTTCGGCATCGCTCATAAATCAGCGTTGCTATATTTAAACTTTTGTATTGGCCAACTTGACGTAGTGCTAAACGTGAACTATGGTTGTGTGATGTATGCCTCAACTCAACACAACATAGACGTACAGCTGATGTGTCTTCACATATGCATGATTACTCATAAGTAAAAAGTTTCTTCTGAAAGTCATGTTTTTATATATTTATATTCGGCTTGTCATTTCACGTATTCGTACTACTTGTAAAAAAATTAGCCCAAAATTAGATTTTTGCTGTATATTTATTTGGCTGCAAATTTTATATCGGTTGTAAATGTAGTGTAGATTTCTGATATGAGTTGTAAATCTAGCGCTGCCTCTGTAAATGTTAACGAGGATTGTAAAGCTACCCGTACAAAAATGTTTTTTTTTTCACTTTCATTATCACCCATCTAGTAAGAACGTTAAATCTGAATGGAGCAATTATAGGGTTAATGCCCCTGATTGATGCCTCTAAAGTGAGTGGATCCTGGGTTCTTCTCATGGCCTTTTTTAAAACGCCAGATGGTTTTTTTATGGCTTTTTAACATGTTCATGAAACAGGCTTGTTACAACTTTTTGCTACAAATTATTTTTTGGGTTTATTGGGCGGCTGCAAGAACATTTCTTCACTAGATGAGGCGTCGTCACACCCAGCGGCATTCACACTTGCAGAGGCACTTACACATGCAGGGGCACTGTCACATCTAGGGGTATTGCCACATCTAGGGGTATTGCCACATCTAGGGGCATTGCCACATCTAGGGGCATTGTTATGTTGTGTTAGGGGACATCCTCCGATAGTGCTACCACATTTCGGGGCACCGTAGTGTGATGTTACCACATTGAGAGGCATCGCCATGGGGTGTTGCCACATCAGGGCCATCGCCGTGTGGTGTCACATCGCCACTACCTGCATACGACCCTGCACCCTACAGCAGCCAAATGTTGATGTTCCGGCTTGGTTGAGATACCCAACTTCAGCATTATGCCAGCCTCTCTAACTTAGCCATTATGCCAGCCTCTCTAACTTGGCCATTATGGCAGCCTCTCCAAACTTGGCCATTATACCAGCCTCTCCAAACTTGGCCATTATGCCAGCCTCTCTAACTTGGCCATTATGGCAGCCTCTCCAAACTTGGCCATTAGGACAACCTCTCCAAACTTGGCCATTAGGACAACCACCCCAACGTTGGCCCTAACGCACGCCCTATCTTTTGCTACTTTCCCATTTCACCCTCCCCCCCCCCCAGTGCCTGTCAATCAGAATTTGCAGGCCCGTGATCCCTTCACTCGCATGCGCTAATTACCCTCCCCCCCCCCCCCCAAGGTTGAGCTCGAGGAGAGAATAAAGCTCCAGTTTTCAAATGACACCCCCAACAAAACAAGCTGTTTTCCTAATTTCGTCACCCCCCCCCCCCCCACCTCCCACCTCAACATGTCTTTATTTGCAGCAAGTTTTAATCTCCCTCCACCCCCCCACGCCACTCACTAGGCTCTCGGGTTTCATAGCGGTGCACATTACCGTCAGAAAATGCATTGTTAATGCACCCCCTCCTCCCCTCCCCCTGCGTGCTACATGAAGTGGTCGAATATTTCTCCTCACGTACCCACCTCTCTTTACCCCTTCCTCCTCCCTCCCTCCAACTTCCCTCCTACACTCACCCACTCACTATCTCCAACCTGCCCCCATCCTATCTCCCTCCCTACCCCCACTTTATCCTCTATCCTATCGACGAACTGGTTCAATATTTTTCATTGTACGACCCCCTCGCCCCCCTCTCAAACCCCTCACCCCACCCCCTCTCGCTCCCCCCCTCACCTATGAGGAAAATAACCACCCTAGTCTTAAACCCTCAGTACCGTTTGATTGAAGCCTACCCCCCCCCCGCCACACGTCTCCCTTGTACTCCCTCTAGCCATGTCTCTCCCTCCCCCCTCCCATACACCTTCATCCCACTCTCCCTAGGTTCCAGGAACTTCTAACATGTCGAGCATATCTACACACCATCTCGCTCTCTGCCCTCTTCCATTACAATACTCGACTAACAGTTACAGCATTCTGATCTCTATGCTGATTTTTACTGACTCCTGTCTTCAGTACCATGATCCTGTCTTCAGTGCCATGACTCATGTCTTCAGTGCCATGACTCCTGCCTTTAGTGCCATGACTCCTGTCTTTAGTGCCATGACTCCTGCCTTTAGTGCCATGACTCCTGTCTTTAGTGCCATGACTCCTGTCTTTAGTGCCATGACTCCTGTCTTTAGTGCCATGACTCCTGTCTTTAGTGCCATGACTCCTGTCTTTAGTGCCATGACTCCTGCCTTTAGTGCCATGACTCCTGTCTTTAGTGCCATGACTCCTGTCGTCAGTGCCATGACTCCTGCCTTTAGTGCCATGACTCCTGTCTTTAGTGCCATGACTCCTGTCGTCAGTGCCATGACTCCTGTCTTTAGTGCCATGACTCCTGTCTTTAGTGCCATGACTCCTGTCGTCAGTGCCATGACTCCTGCCTTTAGTGCCATGACTCCTGTCTTTAGTGCCATGACTCCTGTCGTCAGTGCCATGACTCCTGCCTTTAGTGCCATGACTCCTGTCGTCAGTGCCATGACTCCTGTCTTTACTTCCATGACTCCTGTTGATTTAAGCCTCTATCCACTGTAATTTGTTTTCTATTTTATCACGCAGAAACCTAACAGCCCCCCCCCCCCCTTACACCGTATGTGTAGCGTCGTTCTCTGGAGTCTACAAATAAATTGACCATTTGTCCCGAGAAAATAAAACCATTAATTGCTTCTCCTGGTCCGGCCCACGTGCCCCCCCCCCTACCCTACCTGCCCGCCCCACCCCCTGACGGGCATGTTGGATAGATTCTAAGTGCCCCTATGTCAAACGGTTTAAAACCTCACTCAGGTTACGTTCCATATTCAAACAAATGGTACCTTTTTTTTTAAAACAATTTTAACAAAACAAAATCAAAACATCAATTATAATTGTTCCAATTCTTGAGCAGTTAAACTTTTCAATAATCAGAACATCAGTTATAATTGTTCCGATTCTTGAACAATGAAACTTTTCAATAATCAGAACATCAGTTATAATTGTTCCAATTCTTGAGCAATGAAACTTTTCAATGATCAGAACATCAATTATAATTGTTCCAATTCTTGAGCAATGAAACTTTTCAATAATCAGAACATCAGTTATAATTGTTCCAATTCTTGAGCAATGAAACTTTTCAATAATCAGAACATCAGTTATAATTGTTCCGATTCTAGAGCCATGAAACTTTTCAATATTTACCCCGATGTATGGCAGTACTCTTGCTTGAGGCTGAATATCAAACGAATTGGCTGTGGCATTTTAAAAGCTCAAACACATCGTACAAAGGAAGCTGTTAGCTCGG